TTTTTCTTCTATTATTTTCTTATTATCTTTTATTTGATTTTCAAATTCCAAAAAATGAAAGTCCAAGTATACATTGGACAGAAATATTTGTTATTATTATAATCACAACAATGCTTATTGAAGAAATTCGACAAGTAATTTATAAATATAGGTGACATGATAGATGAGATTTCTGACAGTTGAACTCCCAACACTTGAGTCTGACATACGAAACAAATTTCTTGATGAAAATTTACAACAACTCATTCCAAATTTTCATTTGATCATAAGAGACTTATACTTTAAACGAGCAAGAATTCTATTCAATTTTTCATGTTTATGTAAACTTATCCAAATAGAACTATATTCTTGTATTTCTTTAATTTGTTCATTATGTCAGGCTTAAGTTTGGGACGCTTAACTGTCGAGAGACTCATCTGTTGATGTTCTATAAATATACATAAATATTTAAATGTAAAATATTGATTATTAAAATTAAATTTTAGTTCTTTTCTCAAGATCATCGTTCAATAATTGGAAAATTAACAAATTATTTTGTAAACAATCAATTTTTTAATTTAATTCATGTTACATCTTATCTTCTTTTTTATATTGGTCTTATTCTTCGTTTTACAAATACAGATAGTGACGAATCATTTTCAGCAGCTAAAATTGTTCTTGCTTATGATCTTGAGATTTGGTTTATTCGTTCATTAGGTTTTTTGGGTATAGCACAAAAAATGGGACCAAAACTTGTTATGATTCGTAAAATGGTATGAATTAATAACCTTTTTTTTTAAATTTATTTTATTTTAATCTATTTTATAAATAATTCTAGACAATAGATTTATTTTTCTTTACATATATTATTTTAATTGCAATTATTGCTTATGGTGTTGCATCACGAACAATGTATAACTATAATAATGATATATTATCTTTTAATGGTCGATCAATTTTTCGAAATATTATTTATCCAACATATTATCTTCTATATGGAAATGTTGGTAATGAATTAAATGAACTTGATGGTAAAAAGAAAAATAATCATTTATATAGATTGAACAGTTTTACGTTTTCTTTCATTTATAGCAAATTCTGACAGTAGTACGTCCATTTCTACTCATGTTTTATTAGCTTTTCATATGTTATTTGTAAATATTCTGCTCATTAATCTGCTTATTGCAATGTTTAGGTATGATGAAGAAAGATAAACTATGTCTTATATGAATTATTTTTAGTTTTACATTTGAATCTGTTCAAACACATGCTGATCTTGTTTGGCGTTATGAACGATATGTATTAATCCGTGTATATTTTCATCGACCACCACTTTTTCCTCCATTAATTATTATAATACATATGATTGAACTTATTAGATTAATTTTTAGACACTTATCAAATCATAGAAACAAAACTGAAACAAAAATATTTAGTAAGTTTTTTAAAGAATAAAAATGATATCTATAGTATTTTTATTTGATCAGAAATGATTGGAACTAATCGAGAAGTTGATAAAGATTGGTCAGAATTTGAAAGTTATGCTTCAAATCTTTATGTACGATCATTACTTACTAATCAACCATTATCAGCATCGGTTCTTGTATCATCAAAAGTACGTCAAGAACAACAATCACTTTCCGATATAGCAAGTCAAAATTCACGATTTCAATCAAATACAAGTCACTTAGACATAAAAACAATTACAGATGAATTGGTATCGTTAAGAAAAGCTGTTCTAGATCTTCGTACTTATTCAGAAGAAGTAAGATTAAATAGAGAGATTATTTGTTAAATTATTAATTTTTTTTCTTATTACAAGATGAATCGATATATGCAATGGATGATGGATGCAATGGAACGTGTTAAAATGTCTAAAGAACCAAAACCAAGATTAAAATCAGCAATAACAACAGATAGTGAGATATATTAATTATTTCTATTTTATTTTCTATTTGTTTCTTTTCTCATAGATATTAAATTAACTGATAATTAAGCATATCTACGATGAATGTCTACAACTATATTCTTTACTTTTGTGTTGTGAATTATTTTTGAATATATTCTATTATATTGTACAATACAGTTGAGTTTATTCATTCATATACATAATATTATATTGAACTTTCTCAAAACTTAGAAATTTGAATAAGAATCATTCTAGTTTTAAGAGAAACAGATGAAATAAGATACATTCAAAATACGTGTAAAAAATCGAATCTCACAATTCCTACGAGATTAAACTGTGAAATACGATGTAGCTGTTATTACTAATCACAGCGAGACTACTTTTTATTTTATCTACTTTGAAATACACTTCTTTACCATCCTTCTACTTAATCCTACAGAACTGAAATAAGGAAGTAGTTCATGTGTTATAATGAGATTTTATTGATATATCGTCTTTGATCGTATATCAACAACGTCTATTGTCACGGAGAGAGAGATTTTGCTAAGACATCTGTGAGAATTTTGGAAGGGAAATGAGTATAAATTTCTATCCTATTTGCTTTAACACTTCTCTTAGATTGTGTTTCACAAAAAAACAAAATCAGACCAAATGCAACTTATTTCTTCTTGCTATGGAAGCTTAACAGCATATGATGGTGTGTGCACTCAACATCTATTTTTAGAAAAAAGCAATACTTCTAGAATCTGTAATGTCAAAAATTTAGCTACTAGTTTTTAGAGTGTTGATTATTTTCATATAAGAATATATGGTTCTTTACCAGAAGAACGTAAAAACTCCTTATAATCTTTCATATGTTTTATGGGAAACTCGTTCTGACGTGAACCATTTTGTGCCCATACTATCGAGATTATTTACTATCAAAATATTACTAATGTGACTTTTATAAACCATATATTTGTATTATCTGATTTTAGTTAATCGAAACCGACGATCAAAAGCTTTCGATAATAAAAATATTATGAACAGTCACCATGCAATTGAATGACTCTAATTTGCAATGATGATAAGAATTCATTAAGTGTCAAGTTAAAAAATAGTGTTGTTGTCAATCATATACTTTGCACAGTTTATGATCTTAAAAGTGTCGAGAAACTATCAGAGTCATTGTAAAGTTGAATTCTTTTTATAGGAACCATTTACAGATGATTTCATGCAAAAACATGTAGAAATAGATGCATGCGATTTTGTTAAATAAAATAATTCTTTTTCTGAAGGTGAATTAGTCCTTTGTTGTGACTTAAATAATAGTAAAAATGCTTTATTCTGCACTGGCTCCTTATTCATAACTAAGTTATTAGTAAAATTCGGAATTATAATTCCATTAAACTGTAATGAAGAAATAGAATGAGAAGCCTTAGATGTTGTTGTTGCCGTTGGTTTTCTTTTCTGTCCTTCGTAAATCATCCACTAACTTAAGTTCAATAGAAATTTATTCGTATAGAGATATTCAAGGTGATTCTATGGTAGATTTTAAAAACCTTAGTGAGCGTGAGTTGATTTTCTATATATGGCAGCAATGGTGTTAGAGTCATCATCAAGATTCACAGCAACAAGAGCGCCTTCATCAAATGAATTTTGATCAGACCAAAATATATTCACAAAGCTTCTTCAAGAGCACTAAGAATATATTCTGTATCTGGAATTCCATCTTCATATCCACTCGATCTCTGTCAAAAACATTCAGCAATTGCTTTACTTATCACTGCGTATGGTTTGTTTGCTACGGCTAGAAAACTCAACCAACGGTATATAGTGGGAATCAATAGAAAAAAGTGGTCCTGATGCTAGACGCATAAAAGCTTCATTATTGACAATTTTATCCTCACTGCAATAGATGTTAAATTTATCGAGAGGTTTTTAAACGCAAAAGGTTACCCATTGTTTAGCTATAATGTTATATTTCTTGGCAAAATGATTTTGACGAAGTTCAAATGTAAGCAGTACATTACGAGTAACATTGCCAATGTCAAAATAATATCTAATGCATGACATGTATCTTTGTCTAAATCATCGAGTTGAAGCTAACCAGTTGATTATAGAGACTAAAACCATATCTAATCACCAATGACTTAGTCAAACAAAGTGTCATAAAGGTGTCATTAATGCACTACAATAGTTATATTATTTATTCTGTGACTGTTGAGGAAATATCTATTGAACTGACAATATATAACACCCTTCAGCATATGCTTTTTCCCATAACACCTCTTCTACTCAGGCAATCTTGACGTGTTCAATTAATGATTTGTTTCATATACGTTCTTACCGCTACACATATTTTTATTGACAGTAAATGTGTATGTTCTTGATTATATGTGAGATCATTATTATTTAATTCAAGTATCAGCGTATTACTTACGACCGATTGAAGAGTTATTCTCGTAATATATAATTAATACGAATCATATCGAAAAAATTGTGAAATGTCAAGAGCAGTGCATATGAACCGGATCAGCCTGATTAAAATCATTTCAGACCTGATGAAACTACCATTAACGAAGTTCAATAATTATAGTAGATGGATCAGTCTCGAGAAAAGAAAAGAATTCGAACTGCGTAGGACAAAACTGAGCTCACTATCATATATGTTATGTGCGAACAATTCATATCAAATTAAAAGCTCCGAATCAAAATTCTAGAAAAATCTAACCGACGTATACAGAAACATATTAATAAATTCCACAACAATATAGCCATTAATAAGACTTTCGCGAGAGATTTTGGAGATCCAGAAAAACTGAGTATATCATTGGATCGCATTGATCAACTTATATTTCAATGAAGAGTAAAAATTTTGGAATAAGTTTACAGATAAATCCAACAGACAAACCGGTTAAACTCCATGTAACGATACCTATACTAAAACATTGAATAATCAAAAGCACTTAATAGTTTTTATTTGATGTAAAAAAGAAATCTATATGTATATGAAAACAAATATGACATTTGAATTCAAAAATTATAATTTTCTTATATATGACACGCTCTCAGGAGTCACAGTTTCTCAGACCTCCAAGTAGTTTCGTTAAGGTTATTATGAGCTTGAGAATTATTTACTATTATTGTACTTGTCATTATGTCCTCGGTAAATAGACATTAAGTCAAGTGAGCCTGTATCCATTGTTTTTCTCGAGCGTGATTGTTTTCTTGGTTTAATTTTTGCTTGTGGTGGAGTTGCCAACTCAGCTGCTGGTTTCGGTGATAACTGATTGTCCTTAGTTTGCTTATCAGTGGTAACTTGGGAATGAGAAACATTGGATATTGGTCGAACAAGACGCGATTCTCTTGTAGGAGCTTCGGTTACATGAAATTGAGATGTATTCACTCTCTGTGATGCACATTTGGGGTACCTTACAAAAGATTGTGAAAGAGAAGCTGTGTCTTGTGGAAGGCAGCTTTGTTCTGGTGCTATAAGGTCACCATGTTTATTCACATTGGAATGATTTATCGGTGTTGGATTTCGTGGTCCGGCTCGGTTTGAATATGTGATATTTTCAAAAGATTCGACATTTTTTTCCGGAGAATGTTGTTCAGCGAGGACTTTTGAAAGCCTATCATCTTGGTCAGAAGGCCTTTTATTCAAAGCTATCCGGGTTGATGGAATGTGTTCATCTGTAGAGTTAATTGATTTTGTGCCCCGCAGCGCCAATTTATACTTGCCATTGTCACGTGGTGCTTTTTCGAAATGATGAATCGTATTAACTGAGTGAACACATGGTTCAGTTGTTGAAGAACATGTATTCAACGTCGGTCTGTGGAGACGTGCTTCATTAATCGCTTCCTCATATTCAGGTTCAGAATTAAAATGCGAGGTCATATTATTATGTTTAACTGTTTCTTTATTCATCGGCAGCGCTGATGGCGAAATCACATGGTTCGCAGAAGCATCTGGTTGAATAAAACGAAGTTTTCTTGGATTCTCGTATTTTTCTTCATCAAATGTTTCATCATGTTCCGGTGAACGAACCATAGAAGCAGCTGCGCCTCTCCGGGAGGTGTACATATTCAAGTTCGCCTCATATACAGCTATTCTATTACTCGTTTCACCTGGATATGGCGATGATTGCATATCTGCAGGTAAAGTTTCTGATGGCTCCCACATTTGTCCTTCATAAGCAATCCAACTGCTCAAGTTTAACATAAACTTCTTAGCATAAACATATTTCACCCATTGTCGAGGCAGTTTTTTGTAACCATAGTAAGCACCAGCTAATTGTCCATATATGGCAGCTGTTGTGTCAGTATCATCACCAAGATTCACAGCAGCAAGAGCACCTCGTTCAAATGAATTTCCATCAGACCAAAATGCCCATAAGGCTGCTTCAAGAGCATTAACAATATATCCTTTGCCTCGAATTCCATCCTCATATCCACCGAGTTTCTGATAAGAACCTTCAGCAATTTGTTTAATCTCACTACACAGAGGTCTTCCATTAAACCATTCGATATGTTTCGAATAAAACTTTCTATCGAGAAGTTGATCTCTTGTGTAGCCCTGAAGAGCAGCAACAATGAGAGCACCATAATAACGACAGGCATCATAAGCTTTTACATCACCATGAGTGATTCGTCCACTACGACCCGAATATTCTACAGCATATGGCGGAAATCGATAGAAAAAAAGCGGTACTGGTGCAAGACGCATAAGCGCTCCATTACCGGCAACTCCATTCTCGCTACAATAGACGTTGAATTCATTGATGAAGTCTTTTTCATCAGAAATATAGTCTATTTCTTCACAAGAGATGTTGTATTTCTTAACAAGAATCATTTGACGACGTTCGAATTCTTGCAATGATTGACTCGTAGCTACACCGATATCAAAGCATTTTCCGGTTGATGACATATATCCGTGTTTAAACCACCATTTGTAACGAACTAGTTGATCATAGAGACTAAAATCACCTTTGGTTACCAGTGAGTTAGCCAAACAAAGTGCCATGGAAGTATCATCGGTGAACTAAGAAAGTCATATTAACTAGAATATAACTAGTAGGAAAAAGACTATTGAAAAGTCTATAAATATCATCTTAATTCTCATGAAACATTCATTTAGTATATAATCCACAAGAGAATAATTTATTCAAATGTTAAAAATACTTTTCAAATGTTTTTGTCTAAAATTTAATTCTATTGTGTATTCCTAATATCAGTTTTTCTGACAAAGTCGAATACTGTCACAGTATTACACAACTAGTACGCATTGACAAAACGTTTTTTTATTGCAAATTACAATATAGAGAAAGCAATCTGTATAATTAACTTCTTAAGTGTCTAAAATGCTATGCTTCAATGTATGCAATCGTGTCTTGAACTATATTTATATGATGCAAATAGACTTTTGTTTTCATAATGAATAATGATTAACTACTGAAAACAAAAAAACGCATGATTTTGCATCTAATATAAAATTATCTATTAAGAGTCTAGCATATATTAAAACACATATTATCATTTTTATATAGGAAAGTGTTGAATAAAAATATTTTTCATAATGTTTTCTTTCCGAAAGCATACTCAAAATGAATTACACTGATTTTTTCATCAAACTAAACAAAAACGTTTTCTGGCTGACATATTCATAAAAAGATTTTTTTTTATTGATGAAAAGTGAATCTTGAACTGATCTTATATGCAACATCATTTTTGAAGATGCGAGCAGCAAAATTTGAACTAAATCTATTGTGAAACGCTAAGATACTGTGACAAGCAATCTTTTGTGTTAAGGCCTAATTTGTAAAGTATAGATACTATCCGATTCATACAAAGTTGCTTTCAGTTTTGAACGAAAATGTTGGTAAAAGATGTTCTCAGATAAAATGGGAAGGAAACAAATACATTAACTTTCTGTCTAACATTTAGCCAGAAACTTTGCTGGCATTGGTTGATAAAACACAGTAGAAAGCCATTTTTTTATTTATTCATAATAATTCCTAGAACTTTGCATATTTAAAGAAAAATCGAATTTTTACTTTTGTGTTTTCAAGAGAGAAGCAAATAATTCTCAACTACACAATTGTTTCTTGCTCTTCATATTTGTATACTATTTACAGAAAAGTGATTGTCAATATTACACTTTTGTCTTTAATAAAACCAGCGAAAGTGACCAAGTCAATCTTCAGTTGTAGAGTTACCAATGGTTTCCTAAAAAATGCGGCATTCTGATGAGTTTGCATGGAGTCGATGAAAAACGTGTAATTCATGAAGATTCAATATTCCTTCTATGGTACGCGAATTCAGCACTCATTTCAAAAAGTATTAAAGAAAATCAATTTTACTCTTTACATTAAAATTGATGGCGCTAACAACTATAAAAGTAAGTGCTATTTTCAAAATAGAAATGGCGTTTTCTTTCATATACGCGGGTAGATTGTATAAGAAAATCACTCTTCCGCATCTCATCCGAGTGAGAAACTGCGTACTTCAAGACTTTGAAAGACTTCAAACAATTTCACGAGAAAACCATCTGCATTGATACTCACCGTTGGAGACCACATTTTGCTTATAAGAACGCCTGAGTGAGATTAGCGAAACCCTAAAAGATTCATTTCCATGATCTTTGAATCTGAACTATGATTGTTTTACTGAGTTTTCGACTCAGCCTTAAGTAGTTACCGATAAATCAAAAACAAAAATTTCAACATAAAAATGTTGTCCATAGATCAGTCTAATGGTTCGTACGATATCCTTAAAGTTTCCGCCGAAAATAAAGTTTTTTTTGTTCGAGATATTGTATTTTCAAGTAGATTCAATTATTGTATCACACCTGTCGTAAGTGATTATTTTTCTAGAAATTCGATATTTCGACAAAAATAACATTGTTTTCGGCTGAAATTTCTAGGATACCTCACGGGTCATTTGATCTACATATAAGCAAAATTTTTTGACAAAACTCTTTTTTTCTAAAATTTTTTGCTATCTATCTAGAGCTAATTCAAAGACTCATTAATACGATCCTAACTCGGCTCCAAAGTTTTATGAGGATGAATTCTTACAGGATTCTTCTAATCTTACTGAGAACGTCTCGTGGGCGAAGTAGAAGCTCAAACAGCGAGTATCATTTCAAGCGGTTCTTTCGTCAGTTGAGGGAATACTGACAGATACTTGTAAGATACTTAGCGCTCTGCATTGAAAATGTTATCACAGGCTGTATAATCGAATAGACAGAATCATCTCATTTTCAAATTCCCAAGTATTCATCGAATATCAGAAAGTAACCAAGTGCGAAAACGTATCTGCGACATATCAGTAACATGGTACACATTCGACTATTCTAAATATCGTATTTTCTGTACGAAAAACTCTTCTTGAGAACAGGCATTGCTAATAATAGTTTGAATTTCATCCTAATACATGGGATGAGAAAATCACATTACCTGTCCTTTCTTAAGACCCCACGTGCCTCCACCTTCGAGATCTTTCACTGGATTAGCCATCAGATATCCATGAGGTCGAAATTCCACATGTGCACCAAGAGCGTCACCTATTGCCATAGCTATTATAGATCCTTGAATTCGATCTAATAACTTTTCATCGATTAGATTTGGTGGTTCTTTCATTTCATTTTCCAATTCATGTGGCATTTTGATCGGTTTTCTATTATTTTCATCATATTGAAGTTCGAGCCAGGACTTGCCTAAACATGTATAATCAATATTTATGAAAAGTACTGTCTTTTCATCATTTCAAAAACGCTTTTTTGTTCTCAATTGTCTTTATCTATGACTCGAATATAATCATGAGATAAATTGGCAAAATAATCTTTTTAAAAAACATGATGTCGAAATTTTCACCTGATGTGGATTCATTCGATGCCTGACGACGATGTTTTGGCGATTCTAAAAATAATTCAATGAACAATACTGATGATTACAATAAAATACAATCATTATCAAAGAAATATTGCAAGAAAAAAATAAACTGCAATTGAATCAACGATCAAGATTCGCTATTCCTTTCAAATAGTTGGCAATTTTGTTGAGTACTCATTATTATATATGATGCTTGAAAATGACTATTTTTACTGTATTCAAATCGTTTAGTTTGAGTAAATATTTGCCTTCTAAGATCTGAATAATCTTCATTAGACAATCAATGAAAAAGCTCTTAGTGATGAATAACAAAACGTCATGTATGACGTGAATATGCAAGTTTGTATTATGTTTTTTTTTCTATCGCTGATAAGACGTCCGACTGAAAATAAGTAACGCTTCAATGCTTTTTATTTTTATATCAATACTCGTTATTACTATAACAGTGATAAATGAAGCATTACACAAGAAACAACAGATATATGTCAAAAATATTTCTTGTAATTGCTTCCATCTAAGATCAATAAAAAGAAAATAGTAAAAGAAAAATTTACTTTTTTTAATCATTTCTTGAATATGTTGCACACTGGTTTTGAAACTCTTTACAGTTTTAGACATATTATTGGGTGAAGGTACTTGCTTCTTCTATTTGTCGCTAAAGAATAAATTATCATGAAAAAAAATTTTTTTTTTCTTTTTTCTTTTGCTTCATTATGTATCACACTGCACAACCCACCTGTTCTCCATTTTTTCGATATTCATGTCGACAGCGACGGCAACAAATAAAACTTATTTATGATGAAGCATAAAGTTAATTGTGTCACATGATTGAATGTTTTTTTTTTCTAGACAGTCAGAACGTAAGAAATATTTTGTCATCATTCGGTGTGATAAGGTTGTAGAATGGGAAGTGAAACTAATTGGCTATATGGAAAAGCAAAAAAAAGTTTCAATGTGTCATATTTATTCACTCACAAACTCAAACACAGCTAAAATATGATTCGGACTAGGAAGAAATAAGGAAATGTTTTTTTATTAATAATATTACTTTAGAAAACTTCACTTTTCCTTCTAATCAAATAGTAGGAAAAAATCCGAAATTAAACTTATTGATTTCTAATAAATTCAAAATGTATAATATACGATTGTTACATAATTAGAATTTTTTATACTTTTTTTTAACTCTGCTCAATTTTAAAATTGCCACATGGATTAAAGTTTTCAATGCAAAATTAAACTGAAGATTTCGATTCGGAAAATGAGTTTTATTTAGTCAGACGAAGAAATCAATAAATTTTGCTTGAGAAACTTCGAAACTTATTTATTTATTGAAATGTTAAAATATATTCTTAAAAAAAATTCACTAAATTACTGTTTATGCATTGAAAATTGTGTACTTTGGCTTATTCTATGATAGATATCAAAAAAATTCGATGTCTTCATTGATTACATTGCTCTGTATTCATACGAAATTTAGCATTAAAATTGACTACAAGTATAAATGTCAATAAAAGTAAAAGTAAATTTTTAATCACAAAGTTTGATTGTAAATTAATTTGTAAGATGGGGTCGAGTCCTGTTGATTAATATCAATACGTAAGTTGTACATACTTGCATCGAATTAGCCATCGACTCATTTATCAATGAATGTGAAGTTATGCTCACTGCTCAAATTTTAAATGCAAAAAAAGAAAAAAATTGAATTCATGTCGATAATGTGTCCTGTGTTCAGGGATGCGGCGACTGTAAGGTGCGTGGGTGTGTACACCCTTCCACTTTTCGAAAATTTTCGTTTTTCTTCAGTAAAATTCATAGATTTTGTAAAAGAAATATCTTAAAACGAAAAACAAAAGTTCTACACTCTCCACTTTTCAAACAATTGTATATACACTTTGTCAAAAGCTTTATTATCATGGATTTATTTTCATAGATTAAAATTTGTAAGCAGATATTATTTGAGTGAACTCCTTTTAGAATTTAAAGTTGCTTCGTCTTAATTCTTTTCATCGTTTTTCTAACTGAAATAATACAATGGTCATAAACATATGTCTCAAATCATTCATTATTCAATTGTTTTACTTGAAAATGTTAATCAAATGTTTATTTCTTGGAAAATGAATGAAGTAAAAAAGAAATGAAAATATTTATTAATTAAATTATGATCATTATGGGAATAAAGCTATTAAAGTAGTAGTTTATAAAAATTTCATTGTTTTTTTTCGAAACGAGATCATTAATGTATTTAACATAGAACTTTGATGATTGATGTGAGTTTTTCGATGAAAATATCAAGATGAATTCATAAAAAAAAAGAAAGAAAATGGCTTAAAATATTCAACGAATTTTTAACATGATTAAAAATATTCAGCTTCTTAATAGACAATGAATTTGCACATCGAAAATATTCAAACATAAGTGATATCTTGATGACGTTTTTACAACATTTTCTTCACCAATGAAAAATAACAAAACGAAACTTGTTTATGAAGTATCTGACAAACAAAATTTATGTAGGGTTTTAATTTCTGATATAAAAAAAATTGATTGCCAAAATTAGAGATTGTCACCTTATGCATACATCGTTTCTTCGATAGAATACAACAGTTCATGTATTATCAAAGTTATGTTTTTTTCTTTTAACAAAAATATTTCTTTATCATGAATTGTTGATGGACAAAGAGAAACAATGAAATTCGCTTCGAGTCTGATTATATGAATATTTATTCTCAAGAAACTCAAACGATTCTTTGAACATTGAACGATAATTATTTATATAGCATAAAATAATTAAGGTGCCGGAAATGGAAAATTTCAGTGAATTTTCTTTCTCGTTCGTTTATATATCGTTTGATAGAGCTTGAAAAACTAATCACCAATATATACTTTTTATTTCCATTCGACCGCTTTTTCGCTGAAAAAAAACCTTAAAAAACTAGAAGGACTAAGAAAATTACCATTTTTACCTTGATTTTTTTTCTACAGAAATTGTCAAATTTTAATTTGAGTTATTTTGTGAATTTTTTGAAAGTTCTATATTCTGCATCAGCATGAAAAAGTGAGTAGAAAAACGTTAATGGACCAGCTTTTGACCTAATAAAACTAAAAAATTCCTATTCGATATAAATAGGTTCATCAAGCTAAAAATATCTAGCAGTGAGCATTCTTGTAAACCTATGTACTGTAGTTTTTTGTAACAAGAGATAGAAGCAAATGTCTTATCTCGTTAGAATCGTCATATCATGGGCTACAAAATTTATTATTTTTTTTTTTGAAAATTTTGTTGTACTGTTGAGAAAATCAAATTTCTTTCCTTTTCGGCGGTAACATGAGGCGAGAGGAAGAAAAATATACTAGTATTTAGCAGTTTTTATTATCATGGTTCAGCCTAAAGGCAAAACAAGTAACATATTCGGAACCAGCGTCAAAAACTACATCGAATCATATACATTTTAGCAAAAATTGTTTCCCAAGAAAAATCAACCTGTGGTCCCCCTCAGGTCCATTTTTGTAAAATTTTGTCTCTGATCCACCATGGGTCTATTTTTCGCAAAAAATCAAATTCGATAAAACATAAATAAATCGATGCAGTTTTTTACGCTGATTCTGACTGTGTTACCCATTTTGCCTTTTGACTGAACCATGATAATAAAATCTGCTAAATACTAGTATATTTTTCTTCCTCTCGCCTCATGTTACCGCCGAAAAGGAAAGAAATTTGATTTTCTCAACAGTACAACAAAATTTTCAAAAAAAAAAA